AGTGGTGGCGCACACCTTTAATCCCAGCACTTCGGGAGGCAGAGGCAGGCGGATCTCTGTGAGTTCAAGGCCAGCCTGGTCTACAGAGTGAGATCCAGGACAGGCACCAAAACTACAGAGAAACCCTGTCTCGAAAAAACAAAGCAAAACAAGACAAAATGTCTATTAGTTCCATCTAATGTATGATATTATTTAACTGCAGCATTTCTCTGTCTAGCTTTTGTCTGGATGCCCCGTCCATTGGCAAAAGTGGGATACTGAAACCACCATCGCATGTTAGGGTCACTATGTGATTTTAAATGTAGTAATGTTTCTGTTATGCGCTTGGGTGCCCTTCTGTTTGGCATATAAATGTTTAAAATTGTAATATCTTCTTGGTGGGTTTTTCCTTCAAGGAGTAGGTAGGGTCCTTCCCCATCTCTTCTGATTAGTCTTGTTTTGAAGACTATTTTATTAGTTACTACAATAGCTACACCTGCTTGCTTCTTGTTTCTATTTTCTTAGGACACCCTTTCCATTGTTTTACTCTAAGGTTTGTTCCCACTGGTAATGTGTGTTCCTTGGATGCCTCAGAAAGATGGATGCTGTTTTCTAATGCTAGTTTGTGTCTTTTCAGGGGAATTGATGGCATCAACATTATCAGTTATTACTGAGCAGTGTTCATTAATTCCTATTATTTTGTTGTGGTAGCATTTTTTTCTTTCCTCTTTTGATGAACTGTTCTGGGATTATTAATTCTTCTTGGGTGTGTTTAACCTCTCTTCAGCCTTCTAGTGTCTTCTGCAGAACTGGATTGATGAAAAGAAGGGTTTGAATTTGTTTTTATCATGAAATTTTTTTTCTTTCTCCCTTGCTTGTGATTGGTATTTTTCTCTGGGTGTAATAGTCTTGGTTGGTATCTGTGGTCTTTGTGAGCTTGTGAAACATCCAACCAAGCAGGTCCTTTCGATTTTCAGAGACTCCACTGAAAAGGCAGGTACTACTCTAATGGGCCTGTCTTCATATGTGGCTTAGGTCTTTTTCTCTTGCAGCTTTTAATATCCCTTCTTTGTTCTGCACGTTGTTTTGATCGGTACGTGTCATGGGGACTTTCTTTCCTGGTCTTGTCTATTCGCTGTTCTCTACGCCTCCTGCCCCTTGCTGGGCATCTCTTTAGATTGGCAAAATTGTTTTGATTTTGTTTAAAAATGATTCTGTTTAAAATATTTTTTTGTGTTGTCAATCTGGTTTTCTTCTCCTTCTTCTATACCTATTATTTGTAGTTGTCTTTTCCTAGTGTGCCGGATTTCCTGGATGTTTTGTGCTTGGAATTTTTTTTTTTTTTTTTTTAGATTTAACATTTTCTCTTACTGATCTCTTTCTTCTACTTTATCCTCAGAATCAGAAATCGTCTTCCATGTCTTTTAATCTGTTGCTGAAGCTTGCATCTGAGGTTTCCATTGAGTTTATTTTAGTTTGGTTTTACTTTAGTGATTCCATTTCTTTGCTAAAGCCATTTCATGTCTTAAATAGCTTTCCTCCTTTAATTCAACTGTTTGTACATGCACAGTCTTCATTCAGGCATTGATTCACATCCTCCCCTCTCCTCCCCACCCCCCCACGCGCTTTGGTTTTTCGTGACAGGGTTTCTCTGTGTAGCTTTGGAGCCTGTCCTAGAACTCAATCTGTAGACCAGGCTGGCCTCGACCTCAGAGATCCGCCTGCCTCTGCCTCCTGAGTACTGGGATTAAAGGCATGTGCCACCATTGCCCAGCTATTCACATCTTTTTTAAGGCCTTGAACATATTCATAATTGCTATTTTGAAGTCATTGTCTGGTGATTCAGATAAGTTGATTCTCTCAGGGAATATCACAATGGAGTTGCTGGCCTCTGGGAGAGACATACTGTCTTGATTGTCTGCCTTTTTTCCTTTGCATTGGGAATAAACATCTGGAATTATGACATTTGTGCTATTTCTTTGTGTAGATATCTGTTCTTATTTTTGTTGGGTAGATCTTTGGTTCTTCGGGTGCTCATGCCCTAAACTGGCAGGTTGTGGCCCAGAATGATGCTTGGTTTTCAGTCTTGGGTCACTCTGGATTTTAAGCTTTAGACTGTCACTAGTCCCAGATCTGAAATTCTGATTGGAGCTCTGGGTTCAGGCCCAATAGTCATAGACTGGTGCAGAGGGTTGGGGAGTGGGTGATGGGTTAGTGGGAGGGGGAAGGGAACTGACTCTGGAGTTGGGGTCCAGCTGGAGGATTTGGGGTCCAGCTCCATGAAGAACGGCAGAGGCCGAACTAGGGGCACTGTGGCACTGGGCAAGGATGGCAAGGATGGCAGCTGAAGGGGATGGTGGTGAGCTAGGGGGAGAGACTGAGTCGGACAGGCAGCAACAGCTCTAACCACTCAGGAGGGAGCAGAATGGGGGAGGGGAAGGAGCCCACACATAGTCAAGTACCATATTTTTATTTTTTGCCTGCCTTGTTTGAGGGTGGGTATTCCGCCACTTGCAACATAGAGTCCTAATACCCACTTATCCTTCTCTTGACCTCAAATGTTCCTCCAGAAAATAAAAAGAGAAGTGGTGCATAGCATAGTTTTACTTGCAACACTGGAGTGGACCTTTACTTGCAGAAAATGACAATAAGCAAGCACTTCAAAGGACAAAGTCCAAACATCCCTACCAAGGGAATCATCCAGAACATAAACTTGAAAACAAAGCAACATATGCACGGACTTATTCATTCTTTTTCTAAACCTTTAAAGTGTTCCATTCAAGTGGTCTTCTCCTAAGGGAAAGTTCACCACTGTTTGCCACTTGTAGCTCTTCTTTATAATTTATACAAAAGACTTTTATTAATGGATGTAAACAAAATCATTTGAAGTCATCATTTTGTTTTTCAGTTTTCAAACATCTCTTGGCTTTACGGATCAGTTTTTAAATACCCAGATTCTGGGCTTGAGCTACAGCTCAGTGGTGAGCACTTGAGTAGTGTGTGGAAGGTCTAGGTTGATTCCGAGTACAGTACCACCGCTAATTCAGTCACACATGGCTGCCTGAGGGCTACACAGGCCTGCTGCTCACAGATAGAAGGAACAAAGGCCTGTAGGACTTCATGATGGGGAAGCCAGGGAGACCTACTCACATCCTTAACACACACTGAGAGCCAGGCAATATGTGTCAAGGTGATCCTTCAAAGGCCAGCAATAACCAAGGTCTCGAGCCAAGTGTGTTTAGCTCCTATGGCAGAGTTATCAAAGGACTTTGCCTCTCATAGAGAACTGCCTGTGTTTTAAGGTTCATTTGTTTGTTTATTTTATGTGTATATGTGTGTGCCTGAGTTTATTCAAGAGCACCACGTACGTGCAGTGCCTACAGAAACCAGAAAAGGACGTGGGATCCCCGGAACTGAAGTTATAGGTAGCTGTGAGCTGTCCGGTGTGGCTGCTGGCATCAGAACCCAGGTCCTCTATGAGAACAGCAAATGCTCGGAAACAGAAAGCCATCTCTCCAGCCCTTCCACCTGTAAGTCTCGGAAAACAAGATCAATTCAGGGGTGCCGGTTCTTCCTCCACCTTGTCGGTGCTCATGGAAAGAAGGAGGCAAATTCCTCTGTGCTTTGGGTTTCATGCTCAAATGACTTGTTTTGAAAGGACCAAGCAGATGCCATAACAGGCTGCTCAGTCTTCTCTCAGAGATCAGGCCTCACTTGCAGTTTCCTGAGACTTGAGCAAGCAGTTTCTGGGAGGGCCATGACATAGTCCTTGCAGTAGCTCCCTTTCTGCATGTACTCTGACTGCTCAAGGTTCAGCCAGTTGTTTACTGTCTGTGATCCCTCACCAACTTAGAGCTACGTGCATGTGTACATAAATGTGAACGTGTGAGGCCAGCCAGCCTACATGATAGTTCAAGGACAGAGCCTGAGACTTGTCAAGGCCTGCCCCCAAATTGATAACTGTTATCCCCAACCAGTAAATTCAAAGGTTACACACCCTCATCTAATCATATGACACCAAGGCTTGTACGACCCTGTTTGCGGTTTTTCCCTTTAAAAACTCCTCACCCTGAGAGCTCAGGGCCATCCTCCTCCACCCACTGTGTCAGATGTTGGACACGGACCAAGGACCAAGCCCGGGCTTGCTTGTTATCAATAAACCCCTGTGTGTTTTGCATTGGATATCAGCTCTGTGGTGGTCTTGCTCAAGGGTCTGGAGATTCGGCCACAACAGTCTGAGGGATAATTCTGTGGGTGCTGTGGAAAGCACAGCCATCCCTCACCTCAGTAGGAAAGGATGAAGCTATCCATTTGAACAGTGGGACTGGGTTATTAAAACCACAGTGTTCCTAAATGAGATGGCTCTTTGGATAAGAAAGAGTATTGTAGAAACTGAACTGAAGTAAATTATGGGTATAAATGGGATTCAGGAGACTGTTCTTTTTTAAGCAATTGTCAAGGACCTTCAGAGGATTCAGGGAGTGAGGGTGAGGGCGGCGGGGAGAGGAAGCTCAGTCTTAACAGGCAATTTCTCCTAGTCTGAGGAGAACCTGTCTCACACACAGACTTTCATCTGTGGAAAAACACAGAGGGAGTTGGAATGAGATCACATCAGAAAATCTTCTCTCCGAGTGGCCTTGGGAGACGGCGGAAAAAAAACACACGTGAATGTGGTAGAGGTTTCCCTAGCTGGAAGGAAGTACAGGAGCACGGACACAGAGGAGCGCATGCGCAGAGTAGGGAAGGAGCCAATGAGTATCAGTCCAGCTGGACTAGGACCTTGACATAGGACCACCTTCTCTGAGAGAGCTCTACTGGAGAGAAGTCTTGATGGATGTCAACTGAGAGCCTCAGATGAGGTGGACAGAGACCTCTACCAACACAATAAACAAGCATGTGCTTTTGAAAAACGGTCCCATCCAATGGGAACAGACCATGCTCTGGCCTTCACTTTTAGCTCTGCCATTTTAACAAGTGTAGGACTTTAGACATTCATAAACACATCCTAAAGACTCTAGCTGTGAAGAGAGGAGATCGTGTATTTCATGAGTACCTTACAGGATTTGTGTGAACATCAAGAGAGAGTGGACACAAAATAGCATTGTCTACTTCCTTATAGTCAGTGAGAGTATGGTGAAACTCCTCCCTTAAATGTTATTTTCATTCTGTTATTGCTACTATGTAAGAGTTGTGAAGACCAAGGAATGTTTCTTCTTCAGGACTAGGAGCCCAGAAAAGATTTTTTATGAAGTCATTTCATGAATGAATGAATACATGTGTGGATAATATTCAGAACCCTCAAACTAAACCGTAAAATCAATCTTTCAAGCTATGCTGGGAGCTTGTGGGCTGTCATTTGATTCTTGGGGTGCTTAGGCTGTGGGGAGCTCTGAGTTAGTTGCAATCAGTTGGTGTCATGGTACAGGAGGAAGCCTGTGAAGGTACAGTCATTGACATTATCTGCATAGAGTCCGCTATGAGTCCCGTCTCCATACACCTGGAGCCAGACTTGGTCACCCACCTCCAGATGGAGGAGCACAGAGCCGGAGGCCTGATCCACGTTCTTCTCCTGATACTGGTCATAAGTGAAGAGAACAGCCTTGTCCTTCTTGAAGAGACTCACCTTCACGTCTTTCATGTACACCGTGATATGGTAGGAGAAATAGTAGACCCCTGGAATGTTGCAGTAGAATTTCCCTGTGCTACTATCGTAATGATTCTGTAGGTTGTAGAAGATCTTAGTAAAGCGGATGGGAACACTGGGGACAGTGACTCCAGTCTCCAGCCCCACGCTGAATGCTGAGCGATACACATAAGCACCTTCTCCAGGCTCTCCTTTCCTGCCGGGGATTCCGGGAAAGCCTCGGGGCCCCTCAGCTCCAGTCACTCCGACATCTCCTGTCTCCCCCTTAGGACCAAGAAGACCTGGAAAGTGAGAAGAGCTCTGTGACTGCTGGGAACAGAGCTGCCCAGGCTGGTTCCAGGGCCTCCACCCACAACCCATTTGACAGGACACGGGAGGATGCCATCTCCACTTCCCACACCCTCCATAGCCTGATGGGCTCCCATAAGTTTATCTCCAACCTTATTTTTAATAGTTATGAGTGAGTGAAAAGATGGGTGAGCAAACTGATTAATATTTAGAATGTTCAAGCTGGATAATACATCCTGGTTCATTTGCTCTTTGCTTGACACGTGAATGAGTTGGCCTGGTAGAGGCTCTGAGTTAGTAGGAGTCAGCTGGGGTCACGTTCTGATCGTGAAGTATCCATTTACTCATTCGTGTATTCATTCCTTCATCTCATACCTTTCCATATCCCCCATAGCCCAGCAGGTTTCCAGAAATGTACCTCCTGTAAGTATCCACCATAGTTCATGTGCCCTACAAGTCCTTTGTGCACGGGCTAAGCGACCACTGTGCCTGCCTTCTGTCCCCTCTGTCCAGATGTCCTCCTCCTCTGTTCTCTGGAGCCATCTTTGGAGGTGTGGCTCAAGCCCTGCCTCCTCAGCACAGCCTGATCATTGATCTGCATCCTCACTGAGTGCACTTTTCCTGTACCCCATGCCTTCAGCATTTGCACATGTTCAGACTGGCAGGTTGCGTGTTGGAAGACACTGTGTCCTTGTAACCACTGCCCAGAGTCTTGTCCATTATACTTGTCTTCTCAACTAAGCCACGCATTCTCTAAAAGCTAGAGTGCTCCAGGAGTGCACTAAAAGTCCAGGTGAATGCCAGTGAGTAGAACAAGAGTTAAGAGGGGAAAGAAGAATAGGAATACATTGGGAATATGGACAAGGGTAGGCAGAAGGAAGTAGAGGCAGATAGAGTAAAGTCATGGATACCTCAGTAGGTACCACCTTGTCTCTCTCAAAGAGGACAACTCAAGCCCCAGGATGCTTATGATCCACACAAAATAAGGTTTTGCTTCTTGCCTTAGCAACTGGTATCACATACCCTGCAAAGCCCCCCTCTGCCCAAGACCCTTCGTACCTGCGTCTCCTTTCTCACCCTTCTCGCCAGGAGTGCCATCTCTGCCATCACGGCCTGGTGTCCCATTGTGGCCAGGATGTCCTGGGATGCCTGCCATCCAACCTGCACAAGTTTCCTTGGGTGGAGGGATCAGGACTCCCGGCTCTTCAGCCGTGGTAACCTCAGCATGGTTGGGCAGGACTAACAGCAGCAGGACAGCCTGCAGCAGCAGCAGCAGCATCCTGAGTCCTGCAATCAGCAAGTGCACAGCCATGGGAAGGGCAGACCCACACAGTACCTCCGATCAGGACCTGCATCGTGTTCCATCCATCCGAGCGGAGTCTACTCCAAAGTCTGCACTTTTAATACTCACCTCTCCCAGAAGGCCTTCAGTGGCTACCCCAGTCCTCACCTCTCCCAGAAGGCCTTCAGTGGCTACCCCAGTCCTCACCTCTCCCAGAAGGCCTTCAGTGGCTACCCCAGTCCTCACCTCTCCCAGAAGGCCTTCACTTAGACATCCTTCTCTGAGATTTACAATGCATAGCATCATCTCCTGCACATAATCTCCTTTAGCTGCCAGATTGTCAGTTCACAGCTGGCAGGGATGGTCTGCTTCTAGTCTCCCGGTCCTGACACAGCAAACATTCCAAGATCCTGCCCTGGGTTTTTCCGGTAGTTCCATTCAACTCTAAACAACTTCTCACTCCCTGGCTCTTCTTCTTTTCTCCCTCGTCTTCATATACACATGCACACTTGTGAGCACTTGTGTACATGAATACATCACACACTCACACATTCACACTCACACACACTCACACACACTCACACACAAACTCTTTGGAGACTACAGAAAAATAAGTAATTCTAATTCTGAAGAATCTGTTTATTCTTAAAACTTGGCGGAAATCATCCTTCACCTGAGACGCTTCTGTTCCAGCTCTGTCATTTGCTAGTGTTTATGATCATCATTTAAAGTGTATGCATTGACAATCCATCAAGTGGATATGACCAAGATATGTGCAATTGTTTCTTTGTTGATTGTTTAGCTTATTTCCACTTCAAAATATTATTTTATGTTCTCAACAGATTTTCTCATGTACTGATTTTAAATTAATATTGAAATGTCCTTAGGCAGATAGCTTTTCTAAAAGTATCATTCTATTGTGATATGTTCCCAGATACAAATTATAAAACTTTTGTCCTTTTGGTTTTTCGAGACAGGCTTTCTCTGTGTAGCCCTGGCTATCCTGGAACTCACTCTGTAGACCAGGCTGGACTCAAACTCAGAGATCTGCCTGCCTCTGCCTCCCAAGTGCAGGAATTAAAAGCATGTGCCACTGTGCCTGCTTTAACCTTTTTTTTAAAGACTTATTTTTATTTGTGTCTGTGTGTGTATATGAGACACATGTACAAAAGAGAGCATCAGATCCCCTAGAACCAGAGTGATGGATGGTTATAAGGCACCATGTAGGTACCGGAAACCAAACCTGGATCCTCTGGGAAAGCAACAAGTGCAAGATCTTAACCACTGAGCCATTTCTCCAGCCCGCCTAAACACTTTTAAGTCTTAAAAAAAAAAGAAAGAAAGAAAGAAAAGAAGCCAGGCAGTGGTGGCGCACGTCTTTAATCCCAGCACTCAGGAGGCAGAGGCGGGCAGATCTCTGTGAGTTCGAGGCCAGCCTGGTCTACAAAGTGAGTTCCAGGAAAGGTGCAAAGCTACACAGAGAAACCCTGTCTCGAAAAACCAAAAAAAGAAAAGAAGAAAATTTGTTTTATTTTCGTTTGTGTGTGTGAGCATGTGCATGTGCTACGTGTGTACAGGAGCCTGAGGAGGCCAGAAAAGGATGTCAGATCCTCTAGAGATGGAGTTCCAGGCAGTTGTGAGCTGCCCACTGTCAGTTCTGGGAACTGATCTCCGGTCCTCTGGAAGAGCGGTATGCTCTCTAAACCACTGAGCCCTCTCGCCCTTTTTTTTTTTTTTTTTTTTTTTGGTTTTTCGAGACAGGGTTTCTCTGTGTAGCTTTGCGCCTTTCCTGGAACTCACTTTGTAGACCAGGCTGGCCTCGAATTCACAGAGATCCGCCTGGCTCTGCCTCCCGAGTGCTGGGATTAAAGGCGTGCGCCACCACTGCCCGGCTTCGCCAACCCCTTTTAAAAAATCTTTTAATACACATACCAACATTACAAGATGCCGTGCTGCCCCCCAATAAAGTGTTAGTGTGTGCACAGAATGACCTCTCGCAGGCTGAGGGTGTAGCTCTGTAACAGAGCACCTGCCTAGCATTTGCAAGGACCTGGGTCCTCAGCACAACAAAGGATAAATAAATAAGCAAGCCTTGCTGAATTGCTCTTACCAGCTTTGGAGCACTGTGAGGAAGCAGAGTGGTTCAAGCCTTTAATCCCACCCCTTGGGAGACAGAGGCAGGAGGGTTTTTGTGAGTTTGAATCCAGCCTGATCTACATAGTGAGTTCCAGGACAGCCAGAGCTACATAGTGAGACTCTGTCTCAACAACGGAAGATGTTGTTGTTATGTTCAGTGAGCAAAATAAATGATTTTCGTTCCCCAGTCATTAATAAATTATACATTTTATTGAGAGGGCTATCTCTTAATTTCCTCACTAAGTATCTCTGTAAGTATTCTCTGTTGGTTAACTTACTAAGCATCTCAATGGGTTCCTGCTGCATTTTTATTTATTTGATCTGTTTTGGTTTGGGTTTTGTTGTGAGGGGGGAGGGGTCAGAATTTTGAGGATGGGTTTCATGTAACCCAGCCTGGCCTCAAGCCTACTATGATTGGGTTCAAGATGGCCTTGAACTCCTGATTCTGTAACTGCCACCTCCCAAATCCTAGGATTACAAGCAAAAGCTGCCATTTAGGTTTTGTTTGTTTGTTTGTTTGTTTGACACAGAGTCTTAGTATATAGCTCAAATTGCCTCAGATTCAGGGCATTCCTCCTGCCTCAGCCTCCACCAAACTGGGATTGCATGGGTGTACCAGCATGCCCAGTGCATAGAAAGGTTGTTTTAGTCTGGAGGTTGTCTTTCACCCTCTATGGTGCTGAGACTCAAACCCAGGCCCTCGCCAGTGCTAGGCAACAGCTCGACCACTTGGCTGCATGCCAGCCCCTATGAACGTCTCTTCAACAAGCTTGCGTGAGCTCGTGCCACTGCCTTGTGACTTCTCCCGCACTGTGGAGATCATCCTTCGACTTGTTTGTCCTTGTTTTAGGTGTACAGAAACTTTAGAGTTCATGTAATCAGCTCTGTTGACCTTTTCTTTGCTTCCGAGCATTAAACAACCCCCTACCCCCCACCCCCAGAGCTGAGGACCAAACCCAGGGCCTTGCACTTGCTAGGCAAACGCTCTACCACTTAGCTAAATCCCCAACTCCCATTAAACAGTTCTTATCACAGGAAAGATTTGGTAATTTTCCGTTTTCTTTCTGTTTCTTCTTTTCACTCTATCTATTTAAAAGGCTACTCTTTGGTTCATCTGTGATTTTATATATATATATGTTGCTGTAAACTGTGGTGTAAGATCGTTTTAAATACCTTTAACTAAATTCATCTTTCCACTCCCTATTGCTCGGATGCATCATTTACTAAATATCCAATTCTGGTATAACTGTAGACCAACTGAAACTGGCAGGTGTGCGGAGGAGAGGGCCAGAGGCAGTGGCCTGGAGCAAATGCTGCTCCTGGAGAGCCTGAGTGTCAGCCCCAGACTGCCTCATAGTCTCTATGTGCCTTTGTCGCCATCTACTGAATCTGGAAAGCTCAGGAGCAAAGTCTCAGTAACTGCTACAAACAAAATGAAGCAAAGCTTAGGTTTTAGCTTAAAGCAAAAGAGGCAAGGAGGAGAAGACCAGAGGAAAATTCCCTGATCCCCTTTTGTATTTAGGGAGAAGGCTTGTCCTGAAACTTTTTTATTACCGTCATCAGTCAGGTAGGTAGGTAGGTAGTTGCTTAGTTAGTTGCTTGGTTGGTTAGTTAGTTGGTTGGTTAGTCGGTTGGTTGGTTAATTGGTTGGTTGGTTAGTTGGTTAGCATGTGTTTATGCCTGTGGGTATGTACCCACAGAAGTCAGAGAGCACCTTGTAGGGGGTCAGTTCTCTCCTTCCACCAACTGGGTCCTGGGGAACAAACGGGTCATTAGGTTCAACATCTTTACCCACGGAGCCATCTCACGGGCCCTTGCTCTGAGACTTTAAAGATGTCATCCATCCGGTGTCGTCTCTGCTTTTGTCTTCTTACAGCTCCAGCCACCAAATTCCTGAGAGCTTCAGCTCTCCTCTTCCCCCCAGAAGTGAAGAAGGAACCGTCTCTGAAGCGACAGTCTTTTCCCAAGAGAAACAAGAATCCAGAATGTGTGGGCTAGTATAAGCAGTTAAGGAGGACCTCCAGGATGGAGGGTGGCCCAGGACTTATCCCAAATGCTGGGAAGGAAGGCAAAGGCAGACCCCTAGAGTTTCCGGGTTCTCCCTTTCTGCTGGAAAAATCAACATCCTTTCTCACCTAAAAGAACACAGTCTTCCGCAACACCCCTGTGTTCTCAACACTCTTCTCTCCCCCCAGGGGCAGTTGTTCTAGGAACCCCAAGAGTGGCATGGGGTGGAGGTACTACACAGTATGTACCCTCGGCTGTTTCTTTTTTAAGATTTATTTTTGTTTTTTGAATTATTGGAATATGCATGGGGGTGTGTACCTGTGTCCAGGAGCCCTGGGAGGTCAGAAGGCATTGGATCTCCTGGAGCTGGAGCTACCGACGGTTGGGAACTGGGTCCTTCCCAAGATGTTCTCTGCAAATGCTGTTAATCGCTGGGCTATCTCTCCAGCCCCTAGACATTTGCTAAGGACAGATCCTAATTGAAGAAGGTTTCGTTTCCACCTAATTCTGGGTGGAAAGTCAGCTAAGGATAGCCACTAAAGGACACAGAATGCATCTTTTTTTTTAATTTGAAATTATTTCTGTTCTTTCTATAGACAAAACAATTGTTACACTTTGATTTTGAAAGACTTATATTTCTGTAGGGGAAACACTATTGAACGGAACTGAGTACTATACATAATCGACAGCTAGAGCACCCTACAAAGAGAACACTTTTGGATAGGTCATGAAGCCGGATGGTGAGAATCGTGCTTTACATTTGGGGAGTCTTTGCATCTTCGTCTCATTTAATCATCGCAGCCATCTTGGAGACAATATGGGGTACTCAGGGAAACCCGTGCTCAGGTACAAATAATCAGCAAACGACCAGTTCTCACCATTTATGTGTGTGTTGGAGGACTAAATGACACCATCAACAAACCATACTTAGCCGAGTGTCTGGAATAAGCTGGTGAGCAACAACTGTCAATTACGTCTGCACTGATTTAGGGGTGAGGAAAGGGGGCTGCTGAGCGGTTTGGTGATAGTCCAGGATGCCAGAACTAAACACAGAAGGGCTGGAAGTTGAGCCCTGACCTAGTAACAGACTCTCTGACACAGTCGAGGAAAAGTACTAAAGTCTTATACCTTGCCTTTTACTATCCCTCCCCATGGGGGGAAGGGGGGATAAGAGACAGAAGATTGTGAATCAAATGACCTGGCTTCTCATCTTGCCCACTCCTCATTCTGTCCACATCTGCCTCCCTGGCTTTATGCTCTGCCTAGAAATGTGATTTCACAACAGGATCATGAGACCCACTTGGCAGAAAGTGTGGAGTGTTTTATAAACTTATAAACTGCTACACACATACGTGAGAAAAGGGAAGCAAACAAATATTTATGGGCAACCCACTCTGGACGGCTGTTGCGTTTCATTTCACCCACACAACACCAGGAGGGAGACCTCCACGTGAGACATCTGGGAGCCAGAAAGGTCCAGTCATTTCTGCCCAAGCATAAGAAGCAAACGAGGTAGAACCAGATCACCACACTGGCCTTCCCTATAGTTGCCCTCCTGGGTAACCCCCCAGGAATTATGCAAAGGGATGGCTTCCATGTGCCAGGATCCTAAGGACCACAGTATAGTGAAGTAGATGTGAAATTCCACTTTGACCTGCTGCCTTTTCAGCAGCAACAGCAGAGTCTTGTGAAACACAAGGCTGGGGTTTCCTCTGGGACGAGCAGAGATGGCCACATTGAGAGAAGAGGTCACTGAAAAGGATCTCAACGCCTCCAGCCAGCAAAGGCTGAACAAAGCGCACAAGAAACCCCAGAGCCAAGGGCGAGCCCAGGAATCCTCCCATCCTTGCTCTTAGAAACAGAAAGGCTGGGTGTGCACCTCCTGCACCCATGGAAAAGCTCCATGCTAGAAGCCTTGACGTGTTAGTTATTTTCACCTTCATGAGACTGCACAAGAGGGGAGGAAGCTGAGAAAGCAGGAAAATGAGCCTTGAGAGATTTCTGACTTACAGGCCAGCGTGCTCTGCAGCACTGCCTCTGAAATTGCCCACAGAGCTTGGGCCCAGTGTCATAACCTGCTTAGTGGGGTCACGGGACATGAGGAACTTGAGTACGCTTTGACAGTGGTGACGATTCTGTGGAGTAGCA